AGGAGAGGGGAGTGGGGGGAGGGAGTTTGTGAAGATCCTCCCCACTGACCCCCCCACTGCCCACCACACCCCCGCCCCCCCCACGGCCCCCCACCGCCCCCCACCCTCGAGCTGTCTTTCTCTTCGGCCCATCATCGCTTTGGGGAAGGCCTGTGCCTCGCACAGCAAGATCCCACAAGCTGCGAGAGCACAATGAGATGGGCCATCCGCTTCAGGTTACGGTGGGGGGGGGGGGGTGGTGGTGAGGGTGAGGGAGCTGGGATGGGGTTGGTCACTTTCGGGAGAGTTGGCATTTCAAAGGTGGCGAGGGTTGGCGGAGGGGCAGTGGGGCGGCAGGGGTTCGAGAAAGGGCAGGTGCTGATGACAGACGATGGTCTCCTTCCTCGCTGCCCCTCCCCCACCCCTTCCCGTCCGATGCCCCAAGTAGTCGATGAGCCCTGGTCCTGCGGCTTAGCCCAGGGTGGGTGGGAGGGGAGGTCGAGGTTTTTTTCGGGGGGGGGGGGTGGGGGGGTGCAGGGTGACTGATGTCCCCTCCATGTTCAGTCTTTCTCGGGCTGATTTGCCCCCAGTATTGACCTCCTACCCCCAAAATTGACCCCTCACCCCCAGCATTGACCCCTCGCTCCCCGACATTGATCCTCACTCCTCAATATTGACCCCCGACCCCCAGCGTCGACCCCTCACGCTCAACATTGACCTCTCATTCCCCAACGTTGACCCTTCACCCTCAACTGTGACCCTCACTCGCCAACGTTGACCCCTCACCCCAACATTGACTCTCTCCCCTCAACGTTGACCCCTCACCCCAATGTTGACCCTTCACCCTCAGGCGTTGACCCCTCTCCCCAACGTTGACCCCTCTCCCCAATGTTGGCCCTCACTTCCCAACATTGACTCCCTACCCTCAACATCAACGTTGACCCTTCACCCTCGACATTGACCCTCACTCCTCAACATTGACCATCTACTCCTCAATATTGACCCCTGACCCTCAACATTGACCCCTCACTCCTCAACATTGACCATCTACTCCTCAATATTGACCCCGACCCTCAACATTGACCCCTCACTCCTCAACATTGACCATCTACTCCTCAATATTGACCCCCGACCCTCAACATTGACCCCTCACTCCCCAACATTGACCATCTACTCCTCAATATTGACCCTCAACACCGACCCCTCACCCTCAACATTGACACCTCACCCAAACATTGACGTCTCAGCCCTTCGTTGACCCTTCACCCTGCCCAAATTGACCTCTCACCTCCCTGAAACTGCGCCCGCCCCCGCCCCCGACATTGGTGAAGACGTATCTGACCGGCACAGGAGGCCCTCAAACACTGCTCCCGCGCACCCTCCCCGTGCCGCTCCCCCCCCCGCCCCCATCCCACACGCCCTCCCCGCTTCCAAACGCCCCCACCCCCACCCCGTGCCCGGGCACTGACCTGCGTTGTTGATGAGGATGTCGATCTTCACCTCGTTCTCCGTCACCTCCTTGGCGAAGCAATGGATGGAGTCAAGCGATGCCAGGTCCAGTTTGTAGACCACAATGTTGTCATTGCACATGGTAGCGCGGAGCTGCTCAGCCGCCAACTCCCCCTTCTCCAGGTCCCGGCATGCCATGATCACCCGGGCACCTGCCAGGGCACGAAGCGGGAGCTGGGTGGATTGGGTGAGGGCCAATATCATCCCAACAACAGCCCCCCCACCTCAAAAAACCCCAAACCCACTGGGCGATGGCCAATGTCCAATACCCCTCCATCCC